TTTTTTTTTTTTCATTTCCATTTGCCTGAAAAACTTTTTTCCATCCCTTCACCCTCAGTCTGTGTGCATCTTTTTTTCTGAGGTGGGTTTCTTGTAGACAACAGATGTATGGGTCTTGTTTTCTTATCCAATCTGTTACCCCATGTCTATTGATTGGAGCATTTAATCCATTTACATTTAAGGTTATTATTGATAGGTACTCATTTGACGCCATTTTTATTCTATACCTGTGTTCCTTCTTCACTTCCTATTTCTTTATTTTTACAGTAGACCCTTTAGCATTTCTTGCATTGCTGGTTTGTTGGAGATAAATTCCTTCAGTCTTTTTTTTGTCTGTGAAGCTCCTGATTTCCCCTTCAATTTTGATTGATAGCCTTGCTGGGTACAGTATTCTTGGATTCAGACCCTTCCTTTGCATGACTTTGTATATTTCATCCCATTCCCTTCTGGCCTGATATGTTTCTGTTGAGAAATCAGTTGCTAGTCTGATGGGGGTTCCTTTGTATGTCACTTTCTGTCTCTCTCTGGCTGCTTTTAAGATTCTTACTTTGTCGTTGTTGTTTGCCAATTTAATTATAATGTGCCTTGGCGTCTGTCTTCTGGGATTTATTTTGCTTGGGACTCTGCGAGCATCTTGGATTTTTGTGGGTTTTTTCTTCTCTATCTCAGGAAAGTTTTCTGTCATTATTTCTTGAAATACTTTTTCCATGTCTACCTCAGCTTCCTTTCCTTCTGGAACCCCTATTATTCAAATATTATTTTGTTTTGTATTGTCCCAAAGCTCCCGTAGGCTCTCCTCATACTTTTTAATCTTTTTTTCTAGAAGCTGCTCTAATTGGGTATTTTTTCCCATCTTGTCTTCTAGCTCACTGATGCGGTCCTCTGCTTCATCTAGTCTACTCTTGAGGCTTTCTATTGAGTTCTTCATGGTCGTGATGTCATTTTTCATTTCTTCTTGGTTCTTCCTTCAATTCCTCTTGGTTCTTCTTCAATTCCTCATGGCTCTTCTTCAATCCTCATGGTTCGTCCTCATTTCTTCTTGGTTATTGTCAAATTTCTCTTCCATTCTTTTTAGCCATTCTATCATCATTACTCTGAATTCTTGCTCTGGTAGGCTGCATGCTTCTGACTTGTTTACTTCCTTTTCTGGTGATGCCTGCTTTTCTTTCATGTGCAGGTTATTTCTCTGTCTCCCCATTGTCTCTCTTTTCAGGATGTCTGGTTATGTGGTGTTCCTTCTCCTGCATTGATTTAAAGGTACAAAATACAACACTACCAGGTACAACACAAGAGGCACTTAACAGGAATGTATTTACAATATTAATAACCTCTAATAAAGGTGAGCACTGGAGAAAGGCAAATTAGAGCATAGGAGAGAAGGAAGAAAGGTAAAAATAAAATAAAGAAAAAAAATTTTTAAATAAATAAATAAGTAAATTTAAAAAAAGAGTGATAAAGTGATAGAAAAAGAAGAAAAAAAAGTAATGACAAAATGAAGTTGGAAAACAGGGAAAAAGAAAAAGAGAGAGAGAAAGAGAGAGAGAGAGAGAGAAGAAGAAGAAGAAGAAGAAGAAGAAGAAGAAGAAGAAGACGACTAAAAGAGAAATGGGAAACATACTATATATATATATATATATATATATATATATATATATATATATATATATATATGGGGAAAATTCCCATAAAACCACCACTAAACCCAGCCAATGCCAGTAACAATGCTTGGAGATTAATACAAACTACAATATCCACTATTATTAAGTAAGACTATGATATACAGAAGTAAAAATCAAATAAAAACAGAGAATTAAAAAAAAATACAAAGCAACAATAACAACACAGGAATAAGCATAACCATTTCACTAAAAAGCATAAAAATTCACAATAATCAACATTCACACAAACAATGAGAAAAAGATAGAGAGGAGAACAGTTTTGGTTGTTTTTTTTTTTTAACTAGTTAATATAGTGCAGAGAGTGGTATTTACACACTTGGATCAGGCGTTGGAACTTAGGTCTATAAGTATAGTGAGAGCTTTAGCAGGGGGTATACAGAAAGAATAGAGGAAAAACTAAAGCCAGAAAGGGATAGGATAAACAGGAGACTAAAAGGGGCGAGTTGAGATAGTAGAGATTAAATGATGCGACAGTAGAGATTAAAATAGAATGAAGATTGCTCCCAATGTAAAAAAAAAAAAAAAAAAAAAAAGGAAACAAAAATTGCAAAATAGCAGTAGTAATAGTAATGATAGAGTTTGAAAAATGTAATAATTGAAAAGGTAAAATCAAGTAAGGAAAAAAGAAAAAAATTCATTACTTAAGTAAAAGATGTAAAAAATGAAAATTGAATAAAAGATGTAAAAAATGAAAATAAAATAAAGAATAGTAAAATTAGCATAAAAATGTCCAGTATTGGTCATTCACTTCCTCTGTTATTGTATTTGGCAGGCCTGATTCTCGGACCAGACAGTCTTGCAGTTCCCAGCATTCCACTGCACCTCAGTTTTGTAAGGTAGTCCTTAATTTTAAGTAGGCTATATCTTAGTTATTTGTGTCCATTTATTTTTGATTAATTAAAAGTAAAAAGTAAAAAAAAAAAAAAAAAAAAAAAAAAGGCAGTTTGTAATTCAGCCCCTAGGTGGCAGTGTTTCCGGTTTGACCTCCCAGTCTTTTTGGTTGTTCTGGCCTTCTTTCTCTATGGCTCTAGCTGGCAGAGTGCCAACTGGCTCCCAGACTATCTCCTCTTGCTCGGATCCCTTGTTTCCAGGAAGGCAATTTCCCCCTGCAATTTCCCCGGCTATGCCCAACTGGGCAGCCCTTCCCTAGTATTCAGGAGCAAGGGGGTGAAGGGGATCAGGCACCAAGGTGGGACTTTTTAATTTTAATTTTATTTTATTGTTTAATGTATTACAAATAGTAGTGCATCTGCCCCCCCCCATTGACCTTCCCCCATCCTCCCTTACCCCCCAGCACATGCCCTCCCCCCAAGTGTCTTGTATCCATTGGTTATGCTTATATGCATGCATACAAGTCCTTTGGTGGATCTTTACTTCCCCCCACCCCCACAACCCTCCCAGCATTCCTGCTGTAGTTGGACAGTCTGTGTATAAGGGACTTTTGACAATCAACATCTGATGAGCCTTGGCAGAACCTTGGGTAGAAGGATGTGAACAATGAAAGCAGAGAAGGTCGGCAATGAAGAGAGAGGAGGCAGGGAGTATCCAGAGATCAATTAAGAAACAAGTTGGGGAGATCTGTCAGCATTTTCCTGGCCCATAGCTCTGGATGGGTGACATGTCCTCTAGGGTTCTAGCAAACATGATGCATGCAGAGGCTAAAAATACAGTAAAACCATATATAATATAATGGACTAATCTGGAAGAGGGGTGTCCATTAAAGCAGAAAGCTCATTATATAATAAAGTAGGCTTTCCAAATGCACGTGTTAAGAAATGGACAAATTAGTTAACCTCGTTTTACTTATGTAAACACATTTGTATATTGTATATCAACCTCTGAACCAAGAGGTCAGTTGCATTCCCAGTCGGGGCACAAAGGACATTCAGGAGGTAGCTAATCAATGATTCTTTCTCATCATTAGTTTTTCTCTCTCTCCCTCTCCTTCTCCTTTCCTCTCTAAAATCAATAAAAACATATTTTAAAAAAATAACAGTGAATTGCCCTAGCTGATTTTGCTCAGTGGTTAAAGCATAACCCGTGGACCGAAAGGTCACAGGTTCAATTCCAGTCAACGGCACATACTTTGGTTGCAGGCTCTATCCCAGACCCAGGTTGGAGTGCATGTGGGAGGCAACCAACCGACGTGTTCCTCTCACATCGATGTTTCTCTCTGTCTCTCTTCCACTGTCTCTAAAAATCAATGGGAAAAAAAGTTCTCAGATGAGGATTAACAAAAGAAAAAAAATCCAGTGAATTAATAACAAAAAAGCCTTTTAATTTAATTATAAGAAAATCTTAGTTAAAAACATTTTAAAATTAACAAAGTGTTAATTTTCACACATGAATACAGACCAGAAATCTTGTCTTTTAAATCAGAAGTCTGTTAAATTGAAGTCTACAAAATCGAGGGTTTACTGTACATTTAAACATTGAGGCTTCTGCTTTTTTTGGTGTTATTGGAATCCAGTCACCATGTGAAAAAACACAGGCTAGCTGTGTTTAACTCATGGCTCTTACAACCAATATTACTGTACCCAGCAAAGCTATCATTTAGAATTGAAGGTCAGATAAAGAGCTTCACGGATATGAAAAAGCTAAAGTCGTTCATCACCGCCAAACCAGTAATGTATGAAATGCTGAAGGGTATTCTTTAAGAAGAGGAGGAAGAAGAAAAAGGTAAAGATAAAAATTATGAACAACAAAGTGACAACAAATACATATCTATCAACAAGTGAATCTAAGAATCAAGTCAATAAAAAAATCTGATGAACAGAATAAACTGGTGAATATAATAGAATCAGGGACATAGAAAGGGAGTGGACTGACAATTCTTGGGGGGAAGGTGGTGTGGTGGTGCAGGAAGAGACTGGACAAAAATTGTATACCTATGGATGAGCACAGTGGGGGGGGGGAGCATAAGGGCAGGGGGTGGGAGCTGGGTGGCAAGGAGCTATTGGGGGAAAAAGAGGAACAACTGTAATAATTTGAACAATAAAGATTTATTTAAAAAAAAAAGAAAGAAACTCATGGCTTCATTACTTCCATTGACCTGTCAACCTCCAAACATATTAATGAGGCTATCTAGACCAAACAGCCACCAGCTGACTACAACCATATGGAATAATCCAGGCAAAACCAGCAAAACTGTCCAGCTGAGCCTATCCCCATTGTCAACCTATGGAATCTTGAATTAATAAATGATCATTGTTTTATCTATTGATTTGAAGGGTGGCTTGTTACACAGCAAAACAATTTTTTTTAAAGGAGTTCCCGCTCCTGGATCCTGCACTGCAAAAACAGGCAGCGAGTGTGAAGAAAATGGAGAATCCGAAGAAAACGGAGGATTGGAAGATGACAGAAATGGTGGAGGGGGGCATGGAGGCCGAGGTTGGAAGCAGAATGGAGGGCAGGGGTAAAGGGTTAGGGAGCCCTCCTCCCCTTGCCCTGATCATGGTTGTCCCACAGAAGGCGGAGGAGCAGGAGCTCATGGAACATCAGGAACATGCAGAGCCAATGGCTAACCTGATGGCTAACCCGATGGGCGTCGAGGACCCAGCCCTGCTTCTGCAGTGCCTGGGACATGGCTGTGTGAATCCCTGCCGGCCGGGCTCCAAGTACTGCTCAGATGACTGTGGCATGAATCTGGCAGCTGAGTGAGTGCCCGGGGGGTTAAGCAACCTGGAGTAGGGCATGATCTATGCCATCTGTAAGTCCATCCACTCTCTACCCATGTATCCACCATTCACCCACCACTTGTGTTGGGCTTGGAGGTGGCCAGGAGAGGCCACTCTATGAACTAGGACAGGCTGTGAACCAAGGCAGGCTGCTGCTAGTGCAGAGCCTGGAGCCACTTATTGCACAGTATGGGGCACCCTGAGTCTAGCCACTGCTTATTTGAGAGATTTTAGGAAAGTCTGAAGCCTGAACCAGGACAGGCCATTCCTATGGAAAAGCTGCTGCAAACCGTTTGGATGGGGCTGCAAATTGGGTGGGATTGGGTCTCAGGGAGTCACCAGGGTGGGTCAAACAGTGTGAGCCATGTTGACGGCGACTCAGATATGGCACCTGCCAGTCAGCTCGGGCAGTGGAGATTTCAGCATAGGAACAATGACTTCTGAGAGCACTTTTGTCTGGGAGAAAGCTGCCCCCATGTTCTTGCCCTCGCGCCAGACAATTCAGTTCCTCCCCCAATGTCCCTGGATCCTGTCAAGCTGCTGCCCCAGTGCTGGAGCTCAGAGGGAGGGTGTCCAAGTAAGTCCGTGCACCGGCCCTTTAAGAGGGACGGTCTGAATCTCCACAGCCTGTGGCACTCAGCCACAATCCCTGCTGGGTTTTATAACCCAAAGTTATGGGGACTTATCTTCACAGCACTGGAATCCTGGGCTGAAGGGTCTGTTATGGGGCTGGAACCCCTTACCCCTCACCAGTGGCCTCTGAAGCTAAGATATCCCTCCTGATTTAAAAAACACCACACGTGGCTGTCGGAAGCCCATTTCTCGCCTCTGCCCCTCCTACATGTCTCAATGTGCTTTCTTCTTTAATTCTCCAGTTGTAGGACTTCCATTCAACCATATTTAAGGCAGTTCTGAATGATGGTTGTTCTGTATTTTAGTTGTAATTTTGAGGTGGTTGTGGGAGGATAAGAGTATCATGCTTACCTATGTAGCTAGTTCTTCCCATTTCTTCTTCCTTTATTGCCCCTATCTACTCATTCCATTTCTTGGTGTTACCCCTTTCCAGACGCATCTATGATATCCTGCCCGAGCGCCTCCAGCAGTGGCAAAACAGCCCCAGCATTGCTGAGGAGCATGGCAAGAAAATGATCGAAGGCCTCATCCATGAGCAGCAGGATGTCCTCAACCACCTGAAGTACCTGGAGCATCAGTACCATGAACTTGAGGCCATCATTCGACGTGGCAAGCAGCAGACTATATGCAAGGATGAGGAGGTGAGTGGAAGTAGGTAGGATGTGGTGGAAAGATACCTGATACCATTCCCTGCCCATCCCCTCTCTGCACTGCTTCACTGGCTCCTCCACTCTCCTGTGCAGAGCACAAAGGTTATGACAAACACCGCCCAACGGATCTTCTGTGTCTCATGTGGGAAATCCATCAGTGTGCGTGCCGCAATCCGCCACATGGAGCACTGCTTTGCCAAGGTATTGGCTGGGGGCTGAGGAGGCAAGGGCGTTTTTGGCTTGGTGGTGTTCATGGGGAGGGGGGCAGGTTTGGTGCCTGGGTGTTTGTTGTACAAGGTACTACACATACATCCATGGTTCTATTCATTTGTGCGTTTCTTCCATCCCCAGTATGAGGATGAAGATTGAATATCAGCCAGTAAAGAGAGAGGCCATTGGCTGGGCAGACAGTAGCATGGGGTCCACAGGAGACAAATGTATTGTTTGAGGCTTTGTCATGGGAGGGCATGCAATGTGCATCTACAGTTCTTCACATTTGTAATCTTTCTTCTCAGTATGAATGCAAATCGTCTTTCGGGTCCTTGTACCCTGCTTGCATTGAGGGGTGAGTGTGGGTGCCGGTCAGGGTCAAAGACATGATGTGGGTGGGGTCAGGAACAGGGTGGGCAAGATCATGGGCAGGATGTGAGTGGGCTCAGAGGCAGAGGCTGGCGAGCGGGGGAGTTCGGAGCAGGGTGTGGGCGAAGTTGGGGAGAAAGTGTGGACAGGGCACAAGATAGGACCTCCTTCCTCCTGATCTTTAACACTTTTACCCACCCACCCCCCAGGGCCACAAGGCTCTTCTGTGATACTTATGACCCAATGAATAAACGGTACTGTAAACGTCTCCACGTGCTATGCCCTGAGCACTCAAAGGAACCCAAGGTGAGGCTCCTTCTTCCTCACCCTCCATTCCTTCCTCCTCCCTGCCTGGCCACCCTATTTCTTTCTTCCTCCCTGCTTGATTGCCTCCTATTTCCTTCTTCACTCTGCTTTACTGATTTCAAACCTCCCGACCAACCATTCCAACCATTATGTACCCTCTTCCCTTCCAGACTATCCCACTTTCCCCCTCTTCACAGCCCAAACACCTCCTGTTCCTACTTTTCTCTCTGCCTGACGGCTGTTTATTCATACCTTCATTTCCTGACCCTACCATCTCTCTCTCTCTCTCTCTCTCTCTCTCTCTCTCTCTCTCTCTCTCTCTCTCTCTCTCTATATATATATATATATATATATATATATATATATATATATATATATATATATATATTCCTCTGCTCCCCCCTGCATAGCTATTCCCATTCTCTTTCCCTTGCTTGACCATCCTCCATTCCTTTCCCATACCCTGCCCAACCACCCTCATTCCTTCTTTCCTCTTTGCATGGCTGCCCTCAATTCCTCTCTTCCTCACTTTCTGACCTCCCCGCATTCTTTATTTTCCATGCCTAACTGCCCCCAATCATCTTTTCCCTGCCAGTCATCTCCTAGAGCCTTTCATCCCTGTATAAGCATCCTCCATTCTTCCATTTATCCCGCCTTCCTTGCCTCATTACTCACCCCCTTGTCAACACTCATTCATCTACTTTTCCTTGTCAGATCTTCCCTCCACCCTCCTCTCCTTCCTGTTTGATCGTTGTTCTGCTATCCTTCCTGTCTGATCACCTCCATTCCTCCATCCTTGCTTAATAACTTCTTCCATCTTCCATGCTTGATCATCCCCCCTTTTGTTTCCTCTTTTCTCCCTAATCACTGAATCCCTCTCTTCCTCCTTCTGGCTCACTCCTCATTTCTTTCCTTCCTGCCCAACTGCCATATGGAAATTCTCTTCTTCCTCTCACCACACCTGCCTGATCATCCTCCATTGCTATTCTCCTTCATACTTCATCATTCTTCATTCTTCCCCACAGGTGCCCATTGATGAGGTGTGTGGCTGCCCTCTAGTGCAAAATATCTTTGAACCCACTGGTAATTTCTGTCGCCTCCCCAAACGCGTGTGCATCCAGCACTATTGCTGGGAAAAGCTGCGGCGTGCCGAACTGGACCTAGAGCGTGTGCGAGCGGTAAGCTAGAATGCTGAGTGGGGCTGAGGGACAGGATGAAATCCTGGAATGTCCTTCTCACACTGATCTTCCACAGCTGTACAAGATGGAAGAGCTGAGTGAGCAGGAGCACAAGGTGCGCACATCTATGAGAAACCGGGCCGGTCTGGTGGGCCTGATGCTTCACCAGACAATCCAGCATGACCCGCTCACAACTGACCTGCGCTCTAGAGCAGACGACGACGACGACGACGACTAAGCCCTGTTCGACTGAGGTCCTAAACCCAGCATCCTGTGCAAAGGATATTCATGAATTCCTCACACACCTGTTTTTTAATCACTTCTTTCTCAGGGCATCTCAGAATGTCTGTATTTCTCTGTTCATTATTTGGTCTCCTGTTTCTGCCTATCCCTTTTGCGAGGGAGTCTGATCAAAATGCTCTCCTATTTTTGTTCATTCTTCTATCCCTGAACTTGGGATGGATCGGGGGAAATCTCATTTCCCACTGCCCAGAATTTTGTTAATAATTTTGGAAGAACAAGGGCTTTTAATATCCCTTGATGGCCCATCTATCTGGCCACAAACCCAATTCTGAAGCTCCAAAGGTGGTGTGTCATAGTGCATCTGTGCTAGTATTTAGGAGCGGGCTTCACTGTCCATGCAGGGGCAGCCATGAAGTGATGCCCCCTCAGTGTTCAGTGGGTCCTCTGGTGTCAGGGTACTGGGGCTTTATTAAAGGGATCTGGCAGTCTTGACCATTATTCGCTGCAGTTCCCATCCCAGGCCATCACATATATAGTTGGTGCCTGATTAGTGCACAGCCAATTCACCAATTTCTGTTAACTGTTAATATTCCTTAGGCTAGAGGTGTTGGGAAAATGTTGAGATGTGGGATAGATGAGTGTGAGGATGGTACTCCCTGATACTTGCACTTTAAAACACTGAGGAGAATTCAAGGTGGCATGGAAATCATGCCCTGTCCTACTGACCATCCTATGAGGTCCTAGCCATTTTTGTCAGCTTTGGCACCTGCCAATCCAGTTCTGGTTTCTCTGTCTTCCCCCAGCCCTGTTAATCACATTCTGTTCTTTTTTTTCCCCAACACTCTGCTCTGACTCCATCTTTTCCAGTTTGCCCTGTCCACTGAGTCCCCACCCAGTCATGCCTGTTTGAAGCTTATAGGGTTGTCAGAAGGGTACTGAGACCTCTGCCTTTGCCAGTCCCAGCCAGTCCTCCTATGCCAATGGAGGTATGTCTGGTAACGTAGCCTGTGAGTGCTAGTTCCTTATTTTTTCATTAAGTTTTTAAATTACATTTTCCTCAGAAACTCACATATTCCATCTAAACATTTAAGTATGCTGTTTTAGACTTATACTTCACATTCTATAACTAGTTTGTTTTATTACTATTTCATGCAATAAATAGTTTCCTTTTTATTATAAATATTACATTTTTCTTTCTTTTCAATTTTAATGGGTCTGTTATAATTAATTATTTGAAAAGACCAGATTTTGTTTTATTTGTTTAAGCTTAAATTTTTTTATGAATTGCCACTTCCTGCATAAACTTGGTCAGAGTGGTTGTTTTGTGTTTCATTTTCATATGTTTGATTAAATTTGTTCTTTTTCTAATTTCTTTTTTATGTTTATATTTACTGTGGAGCATGATATATGCCTTCATTTGTTTATATCTTCTTCAGTTTCTTTCTTCAGTGTCTTATAATTTCCCAAGTACAAGTCTTTTACCTCCTTTGTTAAATTTATTCCTAGGTATTTTATTTTATATCTTGATACAATTGTAAATTGGATTGTTTTCTTTAAAAAAAAATAAATCTTTATTGTTCAGATTATTACATTTGTTCCTCTTTCCCCCCCCCCCCTCCTCCATAGCTCCCCTTCACTCGGTTCCCACCCCATTCCTCTCATTTTATAAATTCTTATTAGTATTTGTAAATAGTGTATCCTCTTGTACTTCTCATGGAGCATAATTATCTTGTGGGTTTTCTGGCTGTACATAGTATGTCACTCCAGCATGCCCACTTCCCTGAGACTCTTAATCCTTTCTTTCTGTGGACATAGCAATTTCGAATTTCAACATCACGTGGGGTGGATTGCCTTTCCCAGGTTTCTAGGAACCATTGTAGTAGTGAATTTGCATCATATCCTGAAGTCCTTGTCAGGGTGTTAATCTGTTGCATCTATCCCATGTTCTTCCCACCCATCATTCTTTAATAACTGCCCTCAGAATCCCTCTTGATCTAACACCCTCAAAATCCAGTCCCACACATGCAACCCCAGCTCCTGTTGGTCCATGCAAGACAGTTCTTGAATCTCCTTTGCAGTGTTGCCCCTTTCCTCCCTTATCATGCCCAGCATATATCTGCTAGGCTGTGTTGTGACTTAATCCTACTTACAGTTGGTAAAGAGAGGAAATAAGGGTTGATCCATGTGGGGGCACATGTCGTCTTGTACAACAGAAACATCTGCACTGCATTTCAGCATTGGAGTGTGCTAGTGCTTAAGAGGGAAGGATGGGCCACTTCTTCGGGCTTATAAGACCCAGAGATATGGTAATGAGCCTCCAAAATGGCTTCTTAAAAACCTTGCCTTCTGGTATTCATGCCCCTCCCCACTGAATAAGAATTTGGCCCTGTATGACCAACACAATACACTGGGAGTGATGATGTGTGATTTCTGCGACTACATCATAAAAACCATTTCAGCTTCTCCCTTAATCACTTGGATTATAAGAGGGAAGCTAGCTGCCTTTCTGTGAGAAGAGTTCTGCAGAGAGAATCCTGTGGGGAAGAACTGAGGTCTCTGGCCAACAGCCAGGACCAACTTGCTGGCCATGTGAGTTCTCCCTGAATTTCTGACCCACAGAATCTGTGAGTATAATACATGGTTGTTTCACATAATTCTTTTAATAGGTTTTAAAATATATTTTTTATTGATTTCAGAGAAGAAGTGACAGGAAGAGATAAATAGAAATATCAATGATCAGAGAGAATCATTGATTGGCTGTCTCCTGCATGGCTCCTACTGGGGATCAAGCCCGAAACCCAAGCATGTGCCTTGACCAGAATTGAACTCAGCATGCTCTTGTGTGTGTGTGTGTGTGTGTGTACACACACACACACACAAAATATATATATATATTTCTCATCCGAGGATGATATTTTCCCATGGATTTTTAGAGAGAGTGGAAAAGAGAGGAGAAGACAAAGAGAAATATCGATGTGAGAGAAGTTCCTGACTAGGGCCTGGGCTGGGGAGGAGCCTGCATCAGAGGTACATGCCCTTGAAAAGAATCAAATCCAGGATCCTTCAGTCTTCAGGTGACACTCTATCCTCTGAGCCAAACCTGCTAGGGCTTCACATAATTCCTTGAGAATTTTGCAACACAGCCACAGTAGCTGGAATAACAAGAATCTGGAGACTGACCATTCTGTAGGTAATCAAACAAGAAGTCTTCAAAACATGTGTCAAGGTTGTATTCTTTCCCAATCAGGCCTCTGACCTTGGCATAACAAATTTGGATTTGTTGGGAGGTTAGCCTTTGTGTTTGGCAACCACTCTGACCAAGTCGAGAGCCTTGTCCTTAGTGTTCTTTGCCCTCTCTCTGCTGGAGCTGACACTTCTTCATATGCTGCTGCCAAGTTCACCCCTTAGTTTTTACACTTGGGTTTCAAATGCCTGTTAATCACTCTGCCTTTTAGATTTTTTTTCTAGATTGTCAATTGTGTTTAGCAATATCCACCCAATACTTTTTAAAAATATAAATATTTTATTGACTTTTTACAGAGAGGAAGGGAGATAGAGAGCTAGAAATGTCGATGAGAGAGAAACATCGACCAGCTGCCTCTTGCACACCCCCAACCGGGGATGTGCCCGTAATCAATGTACATGCCCTTGACCGGAATCGAACCAGGAACCTTTCAGTCCGCAGACTACTGCTGAGCCAAACCGGTTTCGGCTCCACCCAATACTTTTTTTGCATTACTACAATATTATTTCCCCCATGTCTCTAAAATATCTGATGTATTGCACCCTCTAGAGCATTCCGTTTAACCAGTAATTATCCCAGTTCACCGCCTGTGAGTTTTTGAAAAAAATTTTTTTTAATTCCAGGAGCTATTTGTCGGATGAGTAGTGAGCAACCAAGTTTCAAAAGCCCATCTCATTCACAACTTGCCTTCTCAGACCATTTCTGGTACCAATTGTTACATATTAAGTTCCCTAGGAACAAATTCTGAAACAGTTTAAAATACAGGACGTTTATCAGAAAGGGCTCTGGTAATGAACATCTGTTGGAATGAGGGGATGGGGGCGGGATTTGAGCTGTGTTGCAGACCAAATGACTGTGTTGGAGCTCTGAAGCTAGAATGGCTCTTTCCTGTGTTGGGCCTTTATTCTATGGACTTGATCAGATATTGAATATGGACCGCCCCAGAAAAGGGCATGACCTTGGGTAAGGTGGCTCTCTGCATACTTGAATACTGTCAGTTGACAGCTAGGGGGTGGAAAAAATTCTATAATTTGGAATTTTATGCAGTCATAAAAAATCTACTGAGTGAAAAGAAAACCAAGATGCAGAGAATTTTGTATAATATGATTTCATCTCACATTTGTAAAACAAACAAAAAACCCCAGAATATATGTGTGCAATAAAATTCACACAGAGACATAGATATGAGTGAAATGGTTCCTACCTGATGGTTAGCACTGGTTATTTGTAAGGGAGGATTGCAGATGTAGGTACAAGTAGAATACAAGGAAGAACAGCAAGTTAAAGCAACTGAAATAGTAATAGGTATCAATAATAGTAAAGTATTTTTTTAATCGTCACCCAAGGATAGTTTTCCACTGATTGTTAGAGACAGTGGAAGAAAGAGGGAAAGACAGAAAAAATATTGATGTGAGAAAAACACATCGATTGGTTGCCTCTTGCACAAGACCTAACCAGGGCCAGGGCTGGGGAGGAGCCTGCAACCGAGGTGTGTGCCCCTGACTGCAACTGAACCCGGGACCCATCAGTCCACAGGCCAACGCTCTATCCACTGAGCCAAACCAATTAGAGCTAAAAGCTTTAAATTGCTTTCTGTTTCATGTGTGTGTCAATAAAAGCATCTTCTGGGACACTTTATTATTCACAATTCCTTGTATATAAAAGAAAATTTAAGTAATAATTATACAAGTGCAGCATTAGGACAAATTTCCAAACCTGTTCCACATTGAGTTTGCTGCCCCTTAGCACCT